CTCTTGAAATGATCCATCTTCAACCAGTGAGAGCCCCTTGAAGTTAACTCCTGAGTCCTTCTGCCCCATCCTTTAGAGATCATTATTTAAGTATTTATGGATGAAATTATATGATTAGAGTTTATTTCAAAATAATCCAAAGGATAGGGTAAGTGGGGAGGTCGAGATGAAGTAAGATTTGCCATGAGTTGATAATTATTTAATCTGGGTGATTGGAATTTCATTATACTATTCTGTCTTCTTTTGTATGTGTTTAAAATTTCCTGCAAAAAATGTATGGAGTTTAAAGTAGGCATAAATGAAGAGAGTGCATTTAGAACAAAGGCACTGAGACCAAGGAAGGTGGGAAATTCTTAAACAATTTTATGTTTCTGGTAAATATAAAACAGGCTTCCTTCATTTGTAATGTGTTAGTATAATTCTAAGGATTAAAATAACTCATAAAGTATGCAGTTATTTGTTTATTGGCCCCCAATATAGGGCCTTTGGATTACCAAAATAATTGATGTGGAGGAAGTGAAATTTTTCTCACACTTTTTATGAGTGCCATCTTTCTTTCAAATTTTGCTTGGACATAGATTTAGGTATATCAGGTAAAAGAGGAAATCGAGAGTGAGATTTTTCTTTTTTTCAGATTTTAACATTGGGATTGTTCATTTAGTAATTTTTAAGCATGTTATTTCAATAACTTATAAGGATATCCTCAGTTATACAGAATTATATATGGGAATAAAAATCTATCTTCCTCTTAAGTATTTTTGCTTCAGAACTCTTATTATGTTTTAGAAAGATATAATATGGTTTATTTCATGACATCTAATGGCATTAAGCATGATCATTTTAACTTGCTTCCTATTCTATCAACAGGTTAATATTAAAATTGGAAGTTTGTGTCTTTTGCTGGATATTGGAAATTGAATGTAATGGCAACAGAATTTATAAAGAGTTGCTGCGGAGGGTGTTTCTATGGTGAAACAGAAAAACACAACTGTGAGTTTGGTTTTGTCTTCAGTAACATTTATTTAGTGCCTTCTTTTTTTGTGGCGTCTTGTAATATAAAGATAAATTAGGCATGTTTCCTAACTTCACGGGGGCAGCAGAAACATAAGTCACACGAGGTAAGTCTTCCAGAACTCCAAGTACCCTGGAGCATGAGTAGAAAGAGATGAATTCAACCCAGGAGACACCCTGAGACATTGCCATAAAGTAGATTGTATTTGCCATAGAAGTCTGAATAGGATTTTAGCAAGCTGGATGGGAAGAACGAAGTAAGAGAAGGTGAAAGTTGGAGATGGGCATAATTAGGTTATTAAGTATGAAATGTCCGATTTCCTTAAGTACAAAGTATGATAGTTGATATCTTTGATACTGTACTACTCTGTCAAAGTATTACTTTGACATTTCTTGTTTTATTTTTATTGTGAAGGTACATCCTCAGTCTTTCAAACACACTTTTTGGCTTGTGATTATCTTCCGAATTTTTTTTTAGAGCAATTTTTGTGAAACAGTGGATAAGTCAAAAATTTGTGTTATTTTCGAATGTGAGTTCCACTGTGGAACCAATGCAGTGCAGATGGCTCAAAATATCAACAAAGTGTTTGGAAAGGATGTGGCTAATGAACGCACAGTACTGTCGATGGTTTGAGAAGTTGTGTCCTGGTGATTTTAATCTTGAAAATATTGGGCAACCTGAGACCAAGATGGATAATGATGAGCTGAAAGCTGTAGTGGAAGTGAATCCATCTCAACCTATGCGGGAATTAGCAACAAGGTTTGATGTTACTATTTCAACAATATTGGACCATTTGAAACAAATGGGAAGGTAAAAAAGCTGGATAGACAGGTTCTGCATGAATTAAACAAGCGTCGTCTTGAAGCTTGCCTTTCTTTGTTGTCACAGCATAAAGGTGAACCATTTATATATCGTATTGTTACATGTGATGAAAAAAGGATTCTTTCTGATAGTAGCAAGTGTTCAGCACAATGATTGGATAACGATGAGGTGCTGAAACACAGTCCAAAACTGAATGTTCATCAAAAAAAGCTAATGGTGTCTGTTTGGTGGTCTAGTGCTGGTATTATCCACTATAGCTTCATGAAACCTGGTCAGTCAATTACAGTGGATGTCTACTGCAGCCAATTGGACAAAATGATGAGGATGCTTGCGATTAAGCAGCCAAGATTGGTCAATAGAGACAGGCCAATCCTCCTGCAAGACAACGCTTGACCACATGTCGCATAAACAATGTTGCTCAAACTACAAACGCTGGACTTGAAAACTCTCTGTCATCCACCATATTCGCCAAACCTTGCACCAACCAACTGACTGTCACTGCTTCTGAGCTTTGGACAACTTCTTGCAAGGAAAAAGATTCAATTCTCAGCAAGTTGTGGAAAATGCCTTTTGCGATTTCATAGCCACTCGCTTTCCAGGCTTCTTTGCTGCTGGCATAAACAAGCTACTGTTTAGATGGCAAAACTATGTTAATAGTTTAGGCACATACTTTGATTAGTTGTGCTGCTTCTTGTTTGAGATATAAACTACACTTTTGATTTGAAATCAGACATTTCATATTTAATGACCTAAATATCTAGGGTCAGTATGCATTTTGTTTTGTGATTTGTTGGAGATTTTTGTAGACTTGGAAAACTAGCTTCTTTTTAGAGTTGCTTTATGTAATTAAGACTGATGTTCACCAGTAGTACTGACAAGACTTGCTTTTGTTGACAGTATTTTTCAATGATTAGATTTTACTTGAAAGCATTGTGTAATTTACTACAAAATAAATTTGTTTTCCACCTATGAACTCTTGTGGAAATGAGACTCTTTAAAAATTGCTCTTACTATTATAATAAATTAACATACTTTGGCAATAGTGTGTTAATTGCTCAAACGTTGCCTGGACAAAATTAACGTAGATCCCACGGATGTTTGATAGGACCCAAGAATAGTTTATGTGTCGGGAATTTCTTCTAAAATGATTAAGTAAGTACCAAAGCATGCTAGGTTAGATTATTATAGGTAATGTATAGGCATATTTGTGACTTCTTTTGTTTTCCTTTTTCTTTATATGCAGTTTCAGAGGAAAGAGACTTTAAAGCAGCAGTCTCAAATAGTCAACATATTATCTGTGTACCTCC